AGTGGCAGGAAAGTCACCTAATTATCGGATTCAGTAGCTTTTTTCAAAAATATAATTTCTGATATGAAAAAAGCTATTGCATCTGCTGAAAAATTAATTGACATATTAGAGAATAAATGCCAGAATCTGAAAGATATTATTTTTGCTAAGAACAGAAAAATTATCACTCTTATTGATCAGATCCTTTCTAAAATAAAACATAGTGATATAATTATAGAATCAAAAATATATTCTAGCACTTATAAAAGAAAATTATGAGTGAAGAGGTGTAGTGAATCTGAACATGATCTAGAAATCAGGAAAAAATATACATTTTGTTCTTAGTATCTAAGAAATTCTACTCATTAGTGAAAGGTATATCTTAGCTAATGCGTATCCTGTATAGATGCTTGCGAGATACAGTTAGATCGAAAACAATGAATTTTTGCTCACATAAATGCTTGTCAATAATTTTAATCATACTACACCAATCATTAGCATATTGATGTACAATTCTGACTAGCTCATCTTTAGTGTATAACCGTTAAATAAACAAATATGTATGAGATTTTTTCATATTATCTTTAGATAGTCAAAGTAACTTTGCGATATATATATCGAACTGATATTGTAGTGGCGTCTCTCAATAAAATAAGGGATGATCTTCTCCTGCACTTTTTTCAGATTAGCGCATATATCTTTAAATATGGGTACTGTATCTCTATTTAGAGAAAACGAATCCACTTTAGGGATTTTATTAGGCTTCAAAGCTTAGAATATAATATTTTTATAATAGGACTTTAGATTATTTGTAATTATTTGATACGCTGATTTGAGATACATATATTTTAGTTCTTTAAGATTGTTACTGATGAGTAGCAAATCATTACACTTGATATAGCGTATCCCTTCTTTCTTCCTATTAAAAATTCGATAAAGCTTATTTTCAAGCATGAAATTGAGAACCTTATTGGTTTTTTCTGAATTAGTATGGTCACAGATTAGTAAAGTGAAAGGCTATTAGGAAAAACACTCAAATGTTTATTATATTTTTTGGCATCTTTAATCTCATTAATATGATATACAAGCCTATCAACTGGTTCAAGTTTTTTTATTTTCATATTAAACTATTACTAATGATATTCTAAAATAATCTTGCAAATTTATTAGACCGCGTGATCTCAGAAAAATGCCAAGAAGATAATTTTTTTCAACTTAACTTGAAGAATTACTTAAGAATCCTTTCTCAATTAGAGTATGTCTGATAAAGGATATAAGATCAGCTGTATAGGGAACTTCAATGAGGCATATTCCTTGATTCTTGCAAGTATCCTATTTCTTCTGATTATACTATCTTTGTATTTCTAAAGTTTCATTTTCCCGATGGTATAGACTATTGTGATAATAGTATTAGGATCCTTGATATTCAAATGTAAGACACAATTTCTTATTATACCCATCGAGATGCATCTCATCCAAAAAATTAGGCTTACATGATGGGAATTTCTTATCTAGAAGATCCTCAAAAATATATCGGCAATTTTTTTCTCTAGTGTGGTGATATAACAAATACTATTCGAATTTTTTTATGATATATTTTAACAGATACTCCTATTGATATACATTATTCTCACAAGACCAAAGATATATATTATGACCATTTATTCGTCTAGTCCTTCCTAAACATTGTCTACCATGTCTTCTGACATAATCAATAGCTTGATCTAGTTTCCTTTGGAAACCATAAGTAATATACACATATAATATGCTTTAGGAAGGATACCCAACTTTTTTTAGATCAGCTATTAACATGGGTTCTTCTTACATAAACTCCTGCTTTGATGTATATTCATCACCTTCGAAATAATACATTCTTTATGACAACTACTTTTCAGATTTTATAAAGACTTAGACTAAAAGTGAGATCAGTTGTTTGCCTTTGATTTTTCATACCTCCTTCCTATTCTGCATTAGCAAATAAGTAGCAGATAGTATTACCTTTTTTTAATGTTATTTTATCCTTTCTAACTGAACGCTTATATTTTATAAATGATCTAGATTTAACTCATTCTAAAGCAATTACTTTTACAAGTTTAAGTTCCCATTTTTCTGATTCTGATTCTTGAATAAGATGCGTAGGATAGTTATTTAAATAATTAATAACTACTGATAGAAATCTAACTTATGCTTTTATTAGTTTAGAATTAGAAGATATTAATTTAATAGCATATTGGATCTTGTATAGAATCTTTGAAAGTGTCTGATTGAAATGTTCTATAAATGCAAGATCTCAATAGGAATATGAACTAACTACTCAAATTATGATATTATACTCTTGCAATAGTTGGGAAGTTTTGCCTATAAATTCACGTCTCCCATCACATTGTAAAAGCTTTGGCCATGATAATAGATTATTTCAATCATTATATATTTTCCTAAATACTTTAGCAACTTCTGAACTATTCTTAGATGTGAGTAGAACTGAAGTCTTATATTTAAAAGCGCAGTTTATAATATTGAGTACTGCTTTATATTTTTACCTTTATAGTAATCATGAATGAGAAAAAGTATATTGCACTAGTGTACACAGTTAGGACATATTATTCATTCATAACTGAATCTAGAGATATATTTTGGAGAGGTTTTATTAGTTTAGTATGACTCTTGATTCTCTAAAAAATCTTTGTATTCACTTAGACGAAATTGATGTCCTTCTTTTTTACATACATTTCTTAAAGATTTAAGATTGAAATGATAGCTAGTCAGATGATAATATATTTTACGCAATATGATATTTTTTTCAATTCTCTAAGCCTCATTTAAATCTATTACAATTTGCGGTTGGCTTATTCCATTTCTCTTTTTATAGTATCGAAAAAGAATAGCATTCTGCAAACCTTACCTAAGGCAGAGAAGAATATGTGAAGAACATAAAGCTGAGCTGAAAGAGGAAAACTTCTATCTTCATAGTGAATTGCAGACAGAAGTTGATAGTAATCACCAGAATGAAAAGTGGATCAGAGAGCTGAAACGCAAATATACCTGTTATGAGTAATTCAGAATTTCAATAAGAAAATAGAGTGTCTTAAGAATACTTCAGAAGAGAAATATCAGAACTGAAATCTGAAATCTCCACTCTAAAATCTCAGCTATATCAAGCCAAGAAGAATGTGAGAGATAGGGAAAAGTATATTTCTACTTTAGAAAAGCGCTTGGAAGAATCTGAAAAGCAGGTGGAAAAATTGCAATGCCAGATTAAGACTATCTCATTATGGAAAAATTCTCCAGAATGAGAAAATTCTTCAAACTTGTATAATCTTAATATTAACTTAGAAATGGTTACCATCATAGTGCTAGCAAATGCTATAGATAACTATGTGGATAATAGAATGACAGCTTGAGATATTTAGATAAATCAAATAAAAAGACAACAAGACAAATTCGTTAAAAAGAAAATAATTTATATCAGAATTTAGCTTGTAAGTAAAGAAGAAGTTATGATGCAAAGGCAAAGCATGACAATAAAATTATCTGAAGGTAACTTGCTAAAGGAGCAATAGATAGAATTGTTGGTAATCTTTATCAATATCAAACTAATGCTCAAAACTAGGTAAATGGAATGATAGGTAATATAGCAAAGTTTTGAACAGTTCAGATTAATCTGAAAATTTTTAGTTTAGATCAACTTCGGTTTGGTTTCAGATTGCAAAAAATTCAATTCGAAAATTTTCAGTTCAATTCAGATTTTTTTCAGATTATAAATCTAATCTGAACTGAAAAAAATCTGAACTGAACTGAAAATTTCAGATTAATCCAAAATTTTGGATCATTTAAAATGATTAAATTTATTGTTTATTTGAAATGATTGAAATTATCATTCTAAATGAATGATAAGAAAATTGTTCAATTGGAATGATTAAATTATTATTCTAAAGAACAATAAAAGAATCGTTCATTTGGAATAATTGAAGTTATCATTCCAAACGAACGATAAGAAAATTGTCTGATTGAAACAATTAAATTATTATTCTAAAAGAATGATAAAAGAATCATTCAATTAGAATGATAAAATTATTATTTCAAACAAATGATAAGAAAATCATTCAATTGGAATGATTAAATTATCATTCTAAAAGAACAATAAAAGAATCATTCATATAGAACAATTGAAGTTATTATTTCAAATGAACAATAAGAAAATTGTTTGATTGAAATGATTAAATTATCATTCCAAAAGAATAATAAAAGGATCGTTCAATTGGAATGATAAAATTATCATTTTAAACGAACGATAAAAGAATTGTTCATTTAAAATGATTGAAGTTATCATTCTAAATGAATGATAAAAAAATTATTTGATTGAAATGATTAAATTATCGTTCTAAAAGAATGATAAAAGGATCGTTCATTTAGAACGATTGAAGTTATCATTCTAAATAAACAATAAGAAAATCATTCAATTGGAATAATTCCAAAAGAATAATAAAAGAATTGTTCATTTGAAACAATTGAAGTTATCATTTTAAACAAATAATAAGAAAATCATTTGATTGGAATGATAAAAGAATCATTTATTTAGAACGATTATGAATGATAAAAATTATTCAATTGAAATGATTAAATTATTATTCTAAAAGAACGATAAAAGGATCATTCAATTAAAATGATGAAATTATTGTTCCAAATAAACAATAAAAGAATCATTTCAAACAATCTTAAATTTTAGATTAATCTGAAATTTTCGGTTCAGTTCAGATTTTTACTGGTTTACAGTTCAGTTTAGTTTCAGATTAGCATTTTTAAGATTTATAATTTGAACTGAACTGAACTGAACTGTTCAGAAAACTACTTATAACATTGTAGAGGAGATATAGGTCTGTTAGAATATAATCAAGACAGGCTTTATGAGCGATATAAAAAATGAAAAAATAAGACTCAAGCAGAATGTCAGAATATTTTAAATTTGCAGGCACAAATATTTGCATTATAAAACAATTTTCTATATATAAGAATGGCAGAGTATGCACTCAAATGATTTTCAGGTAAAGCAGATGAAGATATAGATGAATTTATAAAAGATTACAAACTTTATCTTATAGTGACCAATATTACTACTGCTAATGCAGGTGGCAAATAAAAAGCTTTAGAACTATTTTGGTTATACTTGACAGATGAGACTTCATGTTAGGTTGAAGATAAACTTATAGGTAAAAAATAGCGATTGAATCATGTAAGATGTGAGAATGGTTTAGCAAATATAATTGCTATACTAGCCTTAAATAATACTAATATAACAGCTGTCATGATTAATGCATCAGATGATACTTTATTATTAGCATTACCAGCTGGAGCTACTAGCGCTGATGTTATTCCAGCACATAATGTTCATATAGATGAAGATTGGTCTCTTACTGGAGGGTATCCTGTAAATGCTGGTATAGCAACTAATGTACTGAATAGAATTTTAAATAATAATAACCATATAGTTCTTCCTGATATCAATATTAATCAGATTATCTATTGTTTTAAAAGGAATTATCTTACAGTTGTTTGAGAGCAACAGGAATTAATCTTTGATACTTTGACTCAAGGATCTGATTCAGTTAGAAATTACTATAAAAAGATAAATAAATATGTTAGCTAAGCGAGAATATCTGATTGTGAAAAAAGAATACAATTTATATGTAGTTTGTTTCCTGAAAACAAGTTGGAAATGAAGTGACTGAGTTTAAACAAACCTTTAAATGATGAATTGATTGAAACATTGAAAGAGATTGAAATAAAAAGGAATAATTTGCTTTTGGATAAGGATATTTATAACCAGCCAGTTACTAAAACAAAACCAAAAATACCTTATCATTAAAATATTACTACAGAAGATGTTGATAGGATTTTAAATAGTACAATCCAGGCGTTACAACAATTAGCGTTAAATCTATTACTGGTATCTTCTTCTGGCCAGAAAAATATCACTTAAGTTGATTTACAAGAATTCATAGCTAAATTCTTTCAAGAAACTATGCCTGAGTAACTAAGACTCTAGGTAATAGTAAAAAATCAGCTAATAAGAAGCAAAAGACTTTATTATTAGATGTTTTTTAGATGATATACTAAGAGAGAAAGGTAATGTAATCCTGGTAATGATTATAATTATGATCCTTTTAATAATATTATTGACAGTATAGCTGGCATGATACTAAATAGGATTATAATAAGTGCTATCAAATCTGTTGTTAAAAGTACTATTAAGAAATGTATCAAATGTAATAGATTTGAACACATTTCTCATAAGTGCTTTGTAAAGAAAAAAAGAAAAGCAAAAAGTCAAAGAAAGGTAAGATCAATATCGCTATAAAATTAGATACAAATTCAGATCCTTCTTTAGACAATACTTCATCTAGCGATAGTTCTGATTCTGATACAAGTTCTTCTGATTTTTTTGATTTTGATAACGTTCTTGATATTCATATGGCCAAGTTAAAAAAAGTGAAGAAAAAGTAAATCTAAGAAATTGTCCTCTAAAGAGGTGTCTAAAATACTACTAGAGGAAACTATTCGTAAAGTCTTTCATAGTGAGCTTAAATTAATTTTCCTCCTATATATTTTTTAAGATTCTATCGAAGGCACTTCCAGTAGTCTTATTATGTCTAAACTGATAGTAGCTTTTATAGAACATGTCTCTGGCAAAAATGATACATTAACATCTTCTAACAATTTATTTTCAGATGAGTTTAGTTAAGAAGAGAAGTCTTTAAATAGTCCTATGGAGATTAATTTCATTCAGAAGAAGCTGAAAATGAGTGTTATCACTGTAAAGTGCAAAATCTAGCATTTAAGAATTCTAGCTATGACTCTTGATTCTGGAGCCAAACCTCCAATTATAATGAAATATATTGTTGATCATATTAAGGTTAAAATAGATAAATCTGAAAAACATAACTTTAGCAGTGTAACTACTGTTCTGATGTATCTATTAGTGTTATTCGCAATCTGCCTATTACTTTAGCTCCTAAGTGTACTATCTATAAAGATTTTGTGGTTATAGATTATTACAAGCTAATGCTAATATTTTTTAACCAACTCTTAAAGAAATATAAATATGCAGTGGATTGGAATATAAATGAGCTAAAAATTCCTTTTAATAGAAAGGACTATATTATTCCAGTCATTATATATAAGGTCAAGAACAAGTTTGAGATGAATTGTACGACTACTTCTCCTGAATGTGACAAATTCTCAACTTTAAACTGTATTTTGCAGGATTTAAGTGGGAATGATAATGTATTAAAAAAAAGTGAGTTATAAGAAACTTAAAAAAATGCTATATAGTACTCTTAAGTATAATACAAAAATCAATAAGTATTGTGAAAGATTACAGATACAATATGATGAACTTCTTGCTGAAAATGCTTAAGGCAGAAAATAAATAAGTTATTTTTTTAATATATTCTTCATATTTGCTATATTTTTTATGTTTCTTTTGATTATCTTCTCATATGATATGAGAATCAGTTGAGACTGGATGAGAGATAATGTTAGTTCTGCTAATGCAGATTTGGACTTCAATTTCTTCCCTCCAGTCTTTTTTGCCTTCCTATATTCTTTCAAAACTGAATCAATAGATTTGCTAAGTTCTATCTTAGCATCATATATTTGTTTTTTCAGTTCTGTAAATAGAGAAACATTTTGGCCTTAGATCTTTGACTCAGTCTGCCTACTTACAACATTTATATTAAAAAGTGCAGCAATCCCTCTAGGATTAGCTGTTAATATATGAATTAGTTGATTCTATGAAACCCTATTTTTTTCTTCACCTTTCTAGATCTGATAAATATAATTTTGTGATATATAATATTTATCTGTTAAATCCTTTAAAACTTTATCTCTAAGCTTTTTTTCAACACATTGTATAATATAGTTATAATCAGCTAGTGAAAAAGAAGAGGCATTACATCTCATGCATTGTCTAAGCATGGTAGCAATATTTTTTTATATATTTAATATAATACTCTGAAATAATTTATTAAATAGGATATATAGAAAGAATGTATCATTCTGAATATATAGAATATATAGAATATATTAAAAGATAATATTCTGGATGTATAAGATATACAGAATAAACAAGATATACAGAAAGAATGTATTATTCTAAATAAACAGATTATGTCTATTATCTCAAAAATTTATTTGTGTATTTTTTTCTAATATATAATCATGCTAATATTATGTCTAATATGCATACATTAAATGATATAAAAGATAGAGAGGATGGTTCTTATAAAAAATCTGGTCATCAGTTGGATAGTGCATATGAGCAAGAGTTTGAAAAAAAATTAAGATCTGTTACTGAATTTAATTTTGAGATTAATGATCTCAGTAAAAAGCTGATAGATAAATACAATGAGCAGGAAAAGGAATATTAGCAAATCTATGCTGATATTAGAAATAAGATTAGCCAGTTAAATGCGTCTAGTACTAAAGTTAGATCCTAACTTATTTCTGAATGGAAATCTCATTCTAAGAGTCAATGTGAACTTGAAGTCAAATATTTTGCTAAAATTAAATCACTCAAATCTTCTATTATAATACTAAAAAGAGAGTTAATTTTAGTCCAGAAAGCTTCATCTTCTGACGAGATCACAATTCTTTCTCTTAAAGCTAAAATAGTTGAATTGGAAGGTAAGTTGGAGAATATAGATCTAGAGCATACATATTATAATTTAGATATAATAGGATGAGTGATAGAGGAGCCAGCCCAAATAAATATATCTGTAATAGATGATCTCAAAGAAATCAATTCTCTTAGACTTGAATTGGAGTGAATGAATGAAGATCTTAGTTCAAAAATTATATAATAGAATGTATAAAAAAAGGAATAAAGTTCTCAAATAGTATATTTAAACAGGAAATAGATATTCAGTTTTCAGAACGATTAAAATTAATAGAGAAAATAGGTCCTTTAGAGACCAATTAGCGTTAAAGAATAATAATGAAGTAGATTCTTCATCCCTGCTTATGAATGATATAAAGGAAAATGAGAGTGAACAGATTCCAAAAGAATTACAACTTTTCATTCTTAATCCTTCATCTAAAATAATTTCTATAGATGATACAGAAGTGGTATCTTTACCAATAATTGCTCCTATTATCGCGAGCTCTTTGATATCATCGATAATAATATATTCTATACTTACTTTACTACTAATTGCAATTATATGGATTATGGTCAAAAAAAAGCTATGGAATATATGGAAAAAAAGTAACCAATTTTTCCTACAGAAATTATATAAATAGGGACTATGCAAAATGCCTCTCGACTAGACTAGATCATTATTATTTTCAATCTTACATCAGAAAATTTTTTGGATAACAGATCTACTCAGGTTTGCAATTTTATAGTATATGTGCAATTCTTTTGGAAATTTTTGCAGCGATCAGTAAAATGCAGATCGCTGCTAGTTTTTAAAACCTTTTTGATAGAAATCTGCAAAAATGGAGATTGTCATCATTTTTTCAATTTTTTGGAAACCTAATCTGTGATAATCTATAAAATGCATAATCTTTAAAAAAAGGCCTTCGGGTTTTTTAGTAATTCGGTCCTTTGAGTGAAGTTTATTTTTTTTTTTGAACTAAACTTTTAACTTTAAATAATAACTTAATTTTTTTTTCATAAAGTTTATTTTTTTTTTAAAACTAACCTTAACTTTATTTTTTAAAAAAGAATTTCATTTTTTTATTATTTTTTTCATGAAGTTTTATTAACTTCACTATACAGGATTATTTTTTCTTAGAATTCATTAAAACATGTATTTATTTAATAAAAAATGATTTTCCTTATTAAATCTTGGCATAATATGAACCTCTTAGTTTATAGAACCAATCGGGATTGCATTGTATTCTTTAGTGTAGTATAGCTGTGAACAGCCATAAAGTTCAGGTTCTATTTGGTAAATATCATATCATCGAACAAGAGCCAGTTCATATGGCTTCTTTGTGAACGATCCCCAAAAGAATTTAAATAATAATAAAACCTTCAAAAGAAATTCTGTTAAAGAAACCTACTATAAAAAAAATGAAAGAGAAATTTGATATCTTTAGAGTCTCACTTACTTTTCCATACCGAGTACCATCATCTGAACTGTATTGTTTTTGATCCTCCGCTGGAGTTACTGCTACATTGCTGAACTATTCTTTTCCTTGGAACCTTCTGGAAGTTCTCAAAATCTCATCACTTTCTAAATGAACTGATTCATAAATTTTAATACAAAAGTCTTCACTTTCCAAATTTTGCGAAGACAGATCTAAAAAAATATTCAGTGCCAAAATTGTTTGAAATAATCCTTCGATAATATTTGCATGTGAAGAATTTTCTGATTCTTTAAAATGTTTTATTTTTTGATCAATAGCATTTAGTCGTAACTCTAAAAGGACTTTTCCAAATCCTTCGATTTTACATCGATTAACTTTACTAATTTTTAGGGTTAATTCATTATGCTTTGCTTACAAAATGTAAGTATTAGATTGTTGAATCTATTATATCTCTAATTATTTAGAAAAAAAAATTATTTCTTTATATTTATTCAAATTTTAACTAACAGCATTTATTAGTTGTCACATCACATCTTTCCTGTTTAATAATTGGTAAGGAGTTTTGACGTAATATTTGTGAAGAGTTTCATATGTTTCTGTTGATAACCCATTTAATGCTCTGTATTTACAAATTGCAAGAACTGACAGAACACATTATCGAAATTAGTCACAAAACTATAATTTCTTTTAATAATTATCTGAAGATTCAGTTACCTGCATGATACTGCCAGTTGTGTAATTTAGGAAAATTGCATTCCGTTGATGATAATGAAGCGAATATCCTCTTAAAGTTAGTACTCCAACTAATGATTAATTTTTGTTGACGAATTTTGTTAATATATATGCTTTATATATTTCAACCAAATGTAGTTAACTAAATACAAT